TCATATATGCTACTACTCTGCAAAACAATGAATGCCCCACTGACCAGGAACAGGAGAGACATATGAGTATAATGATCATTTGAAATACTTTGTTAGGAAATTTCTTTTCTACTTTACGTACGAAAAGGAAAGCAGTCCCTTCTTATTCCCTCTGCCTCTCATTCTACAGCCTCTGATTTTCTGAAAGCAAGTTGTGCATCAGCCTTTTCATTGCCCAGCCTCTCCTTTGGTGGATGGGGATCTGTGGCATTGTTTCTGCCACATAGCAGGGACAGGATCACTGCCGGGCAGCTCAGGCTCCACTCTCTTCTGCCATAGGCTGCTATATCATCCAAGTTTAGTCTCAGGGCAACTTCCTTCAAGGCCACCTAAAGATAGATGGATGCTCCTCTAATCTGCCGTAAACTTTGGCCCATTTATGCTGCTGCCCCACTGCCACATTTCGGGATCCCTTCACAGTCATCACCCAGAAAACAGCTATAGAACCTCTGATGGATTTTATGGCTCCCATTCTATTGTAAGCAGAAGGTGGAAAGAATCAGAGTGTGATGATTTTTAAGAAGATCATTTGACTCTGGTGACTACTAAATCATTTCTCAGAGTGCTTGTCAGCTAGAAGAGGGTGGAGTAGCATAGTTAGAATCAGCTTCGACATTTCTTTCTCTTCTTTCTAAGGGATTTTAAGATTATCCTCTATAACAGGGGTCCCCAACCTTTGGGCTGCAGACCAGTACCGATGTGTGGCTTGTTAGGAACTGAATCGCAAAGCAGATGAGCGACCGGCAAGCGAGTGAAGCATCATCTGTATTTGTAGCCGCTCCCCAGCGCTAGCATCACCACTTCAGCTCTACCTCAGATCATCAGGCATTAGAGTCTCATAGGAGCACCGGTCCCTAGTGCCAGAAAGGTTGGGGACCACTGCTCTATAAAGCATGGCTTGGGACATTAGCTTAGCTTCTGCTGCAGATTCACAAGGTCACTCCTCCGGCCCTTTAAATTCCATATTTTAGGGAGGGATGAAATATGGGCATCCCGTAGATTCACCTTAAGCACCAAGGAACCACACATGTTCTCTGGAATAGAGGGTGGTTACAGTTCTCTGTAACCAGACTTGGCATTTTCCCCAAGTACATGACTCTCCCCAGGGCTTTTTGTCCCCAAGGGCAGATTGTCACTCCTAGGGATGTAAAGTCTCTCGGGGCAGTTCTAATCTTCTGAATTTCATATTAAATTTCACAGTTGGAAAGCTTTAGAAACATTGATAAACTTCGTATTTTTATAGATATTTTGTTTTGACAAATAGGCCTGAAAAGCTATCAGCTGCCCCTGTCGTCCGGCTTGGCTACTCCTGTGGCTTCACCTAAGCTCACCATAGTAGACTGAATGCTGGTCTCCAAAATGATATGTTCAAATTCTAACCATGATACCTGTGAATGTGACCTCCTTACTTGAAAAAAGGGTCTTTGAAGATGTAATTGAGATCAGGAGATCCAGATGAGATCATCATGGATTAACGGGGTGGACCCTAAGTTCAGTAAGTGCCCTTATAAGAAGAGGAGAATATAGATAGAGGAAAAACAAAGAATATATGAAAGTGAAGGTAGAGATTGGAGTTATACAAGTACAAGCGTACAAGCCAAGGAATACAAATGATTACTTACAGGCATCAAAAGCTAGAGAAGCAAAATAGGATTCTCACCTATAACCTTTAGAGAGAGAGAGAGAGAGAGAGAGAGCGAGAGAGCCCTGCTCTGCCAACACCTTGAGTTTGAACTTCAGGTTTCCAGAACTGTGAGAAAATAAAATTCTGCTGGTCCAAGTCACTAAGTTTGTGGTAATTTGTTAATGGCAACCCTAGGAAAACGAATATACTAGCTTACAGAAACATGGAGTAGGCTGATGGTGACTGCTGCTTACTTACCTTTCCTGACCAGGTCTCAGCTAGCCCGGCCTGGAAGAGTGCAAAACCAGATGTCATTTGAAACCTTGCAGTCACACTCCTCCCACTATTCTTGGTCTCACACAAAAACACAATCTCCTGCATTTAGTTTCTCATACTTTAATCCCCAGTGCATTTGTATTACTTCTGCTTCAACCAAGCTCCCATTTCTCCACTTCCTCCAACAGAATTGGCTACATAATTTGTGGGGCCCAATGCAAGATTAGAATGTGGAGTTGCTTGTTTAATATTATTAAAAATTTCCAGGAACGGACAGAAGAGCATTAAGCCAAGCACAAGGCCTTTTTTAAAAGTAGAGCTCTGTGCTAAGGCACAGGTCACACACCCATGATGTTGGCTTGCCTCCAAAATTTATCCACACTGACATTGCAGAATCCTTGCTCAATATGAAAAACTCCACTACCTTTATAATCCAGTCACACTATGCATCTTCTATTTTCTTGCTTTAGGTGAAAATCAGCTTTTTCCTGAGAACAGTTTCCCCTAGGTCTCTCTCTCTCAATGTAGAAGGTTCCTTATCTCACACCCTAGGACCAGAGGAGGCAGTATTGGCATCCTTGTAGCTCCCAAGTATTGCTTCTGAACTGTGTACCACCTCTTAGATCAGTCCTTGATCCATTTAGGCTCTTGCTCCCTGGATATGTTCCTTCTATCCCAACTCTGCACAGTCATCTACTTGATTCCAGGTTATTCCACCACTTTCATGGAAGTTTTTGGTATCTGACCCATCACCCTTCTCTATCCACGTCATTACTGTTGGTGGCTTGTACATCCATGTGAAAAGCACTTTCAGTGCCTTAGTCTTCAATTTCTTGATCTTCATTCTGTGTTAGCCAATCCCACCCACAGGTCTTCCATAAACCATGCCATCATTTTACTACTAAAACTTTCAAGAAAGCTATACCACATTGACTGCGACTTCTGATTTTTCTCTCTCATTTGATCAAGATGTATAGTTAACTTTTCTCTCCCCTTTTATGTCTTCATTATTTTCCTATGTAATCTTAAATTAACCTCATAGCCCTGTCCTTCAACCACTCTCCTAAAAATGGCTGCCAACCTTTCTCCTTGTCTTTCCATCAAATCACTCAGCAAAATCCCAAAGTTATACAAAACCCCACCTGTGTGCTCAAAGTGCTTCTTTGGACTTATGGTCAGGTACACTCTACAGCAAACTCTTAGGTTGCTTACCTGATTGTATCATCTCCTTTACTTCCCTAGCAGAAAGGAAAGACAATAAAGAATCTTCAATCTACTATAAATAGACAAAAGCATTCTATAAATAGTGTTTTCTTAAGTCATCATTTTGTCTTAATTGAAGGAAATGAGGTTATATTTATTCATTTAAAAACTGCTTATTAAGCACCTATTTTGTATAGGTACTATTCTAGGTACTGAACACAAAGCCTTCATGAAGCATATAATTGAGTGGTTCTGATGATTTCAAATATATAACTTAAAAGTGTTTCAGCGAAAGCTAATGATTTATCAAATTTACCCCAAAATACAGATTTTACAAAACAAATTTTGAGAGCATAAGAATACTGTTGCAGAATCATAAAAATCCAGTCATGGCTGTGTAACTCATAAATCCAAACATTTATCATCACTCTCTACCATAGGCTCTCTAAAATAAATATGCGTTAGAATAATTTGCCTTAGATAATAATATTGTATGTTATTGTATAATAAAATGATAATAGGCCTTAGAAATGTTTTTGATAATTCCAAATAAGTTTTGAAGTTACACTAAAAATATAAATAACACTCAGTATCTTTAATTAATATCTGTATGACCACAAAAGTAACTATGTTTTTAGAAAATAAAATATACTAGTTGGCATTTAGAAAAATCATAAGCTTTATTAATAGAGTTTTAAGTAAAAAATTCCAATCAACCTTAAAGGAAGAAAGACCTAAGTGCAAAAACTGAATTGCAATCTTCCTAGCTTTTCAACCTTATTCAAATTATCCAGCCTTGCTGGGCTTCACTTCATTATGTGAAAATAGAGATGCTTATTACTATATTGTGGGAGTAGGAATATTAAATTATGTAGAGTATGATTGAAGCACCATTAGTAGATATTTTGTATAAAATATTTGCTAATTATATTTTCATATCTCACATACCCTTTCCCTAAAGAAGAATTCAGAAGGGGTCAGTAGTGAAGTAGGTATCACAGTCCCTGAGTAGAAAGCCAAAGCATAGCATCAATGGGCATATTGCTGTTAAGATTTTGAACACTACTAATGACTCAGGAAACCAGAGATCTCAGGAATTAGGTGAGGGCGAACCACCTTCTCGGGAATCAGAGAAGAGCACCTTAATTTTTGCAGCATTATGTCATCCATTTAATATAGCTTTTAAAGGACACAATGAGATCTTAATAGTAAGGACTTCATTTTCCTTAGTGAGAACCTGAAAGTGAAACTTGTTATGCATTGTTTTCTGCTTTGCTTCGCCCAAAAGTCGTGAGCATTGCGTGTTGACTCCCAATCTATGAAAACCATCAGTTAATAAACGCGAAGACCCAGATTCTGGGTGCAAATAAGAAAACTATGTATACCCTTACCTCCTCCAAACACCCACGATTAGACAAAAAAAACAAAAAAAGCAACCTTATGATACTTGGAGCGCAAAACCTCGAGGCGCGCACACATGGGTCGGACTGACAAGTTGCAGCGCCCGGGATGAGCGAGAGAAGCGAAACTCCCAGTTACGTCAAAATCTTAACAGAACATGAACAGTCACCCTGGGGAACTGAGAGTGGCAGGCGGGTAGGACGCAGGTTCTGCGATGAACACGGATAATAAGTTGTTAATGCGCACGCAGGAAAACGAGTCCTGACAGAGGCGTCAACAGGGAAGAGTGACCGTCGCGCTTGCCGCAAATGC